AAAAAAAAGAGAGAGCTCGCAAGACGAATCGATTGGATTCTACTCCGCTTACTTGTTATTCATTTGAACGAGTAATGAGTATTGGGAAACTACCTTAGGACACTTTGATGACCTCCAATGTTTAAACCTAAGGAATATTGTCCTTACGATTCGATCTTGTTCGGAAATAGTAACTCTCTAAATAATTAAATAAAAAAAAATGTGTGTAATAAGTCAAGCAATATTGCAATTCGATTGTTTGTGGAGACATTGGTGGACGGTATGTGTGCTATATTTTTTACTTTGGTTGAGTGGCGGACATTCGAGTACTCTATTGCTCGAAAACTTTGATTATTTACTTGAGCTTCTTGTCCATATATATACCTATATCCTTACCTTTACCTATATCCCACATTACAACCCGAGAAGTCCTCTTGATTCGAAAATTTTGAGCTTTGGTTGATTCCGAGTCATTTAGACGATTGGCAAGCATATGTTGAAACGTGAATATCAACCAATTTTGAGCAAACCCGTCATATATTCGAACAAGAAAATGAGTGAGACATATATGATGATCTATATATTGAGAGTTTGTCATTTTAAGGCCAAGTCGATATTGAGGCATATGGTCATACGGTCGTTGGAATTCGACTCGATTGAATTAGACATTTTGAGGCTCTTCTTATTTGAATCCATATCCATGCTCGTGTTTTGTTTTCTTTTCTCTTGGTTCTGGACGAACAAAGGTTTAAGTGTGGGGGAGTTGTTGTGACCATTTTTGTTACGTTTTTCGTTATTGTTTTATCATTCTTTTTTTCCCCGTTTTATTTCTTTTAGTCGGTTTTTAGTTCGTTTTATAGTTTATTGTGTGTTTTCCTTTATTTTGGTATCTTTGTGTTTTTCGTGCATTTTTTTCTATTTTTCTTCATTTTTGGTGTGCAGGTCGGAAGTCTCATGAGAAGTCGATTATACACAAAGCAATCATGGTTGTGTAGATGGACTCATTGGCTACACATAAGAAAAAACGAAATGTGATTTCGAGTTCGGATGAATCCGAACGGGGCCAAAACGTAAAGTCATGCAAGTTACCGACCCTTTAATGGTTGGAAATTCCAAAAAATTTGTATTCTGGTCAAAAGTACGGTTTTCAAGCATTATTGGATAGAGGGATTCGTTAACTACGCATAGGAAAAAATAAAACTCAATTCCGACTTCAAACGAGCCCGAACGAGCCAAAATAGTGAAGACGTGCGAACCAGCCGCACCTTAGCGGCGCTAAGCCCCACCTTAGCGGCGCTAACCACTGGCAGACAGCAGTTGGTCTGTTTTCTTTCCTATGTTTGAACTTGTGGTTGAATTGGTCAGAGTTAGGCATCATGTAGGCGTGATTTTCAGCTATTTTCTCATCAAACTACAACTAAAGGGGAGACTACTTGGGCTATAAAAGGAGGCATCACGATCATCATCACCATCTTTGAATCAAGGGGGGTTCTCCCCCTTCTTCCCCTCTTCCCTTCTCCACTTCTTCTTCTTCTTCTTTCTTTTATTTTTCTTTTTATTGTATTTTGTATTTGGAGAAAGCTTGTATTGGATTCAACACTTTGAGATTGAATTGTAAGTTTGTTTTCTCTTTTGATTAATTCATGAAAATGGTTGATTTGAGAGAAATGTATTTTTGTGTTGAATTTGATATGAGTAGCTAATTCTCTAGCTAGGGGTAGGGGATAATCATTCTGGTTTTATCTCGTTTATATGCATGACGATATCTCAATCTTGACGAGTTATTTTAATTATGAATTGATAAATTAAACTTGGTAAATTTAAAATAACCTAAGAGTGACACTTAGGTTAATTTGTTGATATAATCAAAGAGTGACACTTTGATTTATGCTTAAATATTGATTTGTTAAGTTAGATTTTGTTAATTCTACGAATTGCGACTTGTAGAACCGAAAGGGGAGGAGTCGTAGAAATAATTGATCTCAAAACCGAGAGGGGAGAATTGATGGAACTTGGCTCGTTTAGAGTAGACATGTTCGGAGACGTATTGTCTATGTGTTAAATGGCTCGTTAATTTGCTCTTTTATGTTTACCCTCATATTACGAGAGTTAGTGAGGTTAAACCGCTAAATGAGTTAGTTAGTCGAACCACTTAACCGAGTTATTGATTGCCGTTAAATGTGTGTAGAACTGGAAGTGATTATTCCCGATTCTCTAGCATCTTTATCTTTGTGTCGTTTATTTTTTTATTTAGACTATTGTCTTTTGTTATTTCTTATTTGCTATTTTAGTTAATCATTTTCCAACCCTATCATGATTAGAATGTTTAGGCTTTATTTTCATTTTATGTGTTATCAACACCAATATTAAATTCCGAACAGTCTTCCTCGAGAGATCGATCCGGGAAACGAATCATTCGATTCGGTGCTCGGTAAAATAAAAATAATTTGTTACAACAAAGTTGTATCGACTTTGATGACAAAGTTGAGGCTCAGAAGCATTCCGTGTTCGTTTAAAATGATTGCATTATGCAGTCACAAGAAGAAGTTGATTGTTCGAAAATTTGGAGAACTATTTATTTATTTTTTTATGAAGAAACTGGCATTTGATCACGAGTATGCAAACTGTCTCTAAATCTCAATGCTCTTACCTATAGCATTTTCACCCCATTACCAATAGAACCAAACAAGGAAAGGCACACATTTTTCTGCTTACATTCTAGTGAACTAACATTTGATAGTTTACAACCCCAGCCAATTCATGCTTAAGATGGAAGCAAAAAACTCTCTTCTATCTACATTTCAAGAAAGTGTTAACCGAATAACGTCCTTTAAAAGAAGAGCACAACCGAAAGTAAAAGAAAAAACAATCCGAAACAAGATCAAGCCAACAAAAAAAAAAATAAAAATAAAATCACTGATCACTCGGCGCCATCCCGCCAGGCCGCACAACATGAAACTTCCTGTTCGGGTGCATGAACGAGAAAAGCGAGTGCCTCTGCTTCTTCGCTCTCGTCCCGAATATAAACGACCTCAGGGGCACACGAGCCTTGCTCATGTTGTGCTGCATCTTCGGTTGATCTGTCGATATCCCAAACTCCTCGTTCAGCTGCCTTAGCGTCTTCTCGGTCTCGATCTGCAGCACGCTCGCATGGTCCAGCCCCGCCTGCAGCTCTTCCCTCACCTTATTATTCTCTTGCTTCATATTCAGAATCTCCCCTTGCAACTTAGCCGCATGGTGGCTGCTGAACTGTATCTCTTCCTCTTCCACCCCTTCTTTCAAAGCCTTCGTGATTTCCTCTTGTATGCTACATAAAGATTCGAACCTCCGCTTCAGCTCGTCTTTCAAAGACACGCTTTGCTCTAGCCACACACTCAGCTCTGTCTGAATCTCCCTTAAGTGCTTGTAAATGGGCCGGGCCTCGGATTTGTGTTGTTGGTTCACGCTCCCGTCTTGCTTCTTTTTTTCCCTCAGTTTCGATATTTCGTCCTGCAAATCCCTCACCTCGCTCTTGAACTTCTGCACCTGGTGAAAGGCAGTGCTGAACCTCAGCCAGAAGTCGAGGTTTTCATCAAGAATCGCGTCGATCTCCGAGCGGAGCTTTTCCTCCACGGCCGAGATCGCTCGGTCACGCTGCAACGTGAAGTCAATCTTGATCTCGTCTCCATCCTTGAGGGGTGAGTCGGTAATTTCGTCCTCGTCGTTATTGTCGGCATTCTTGTTCGCCTGCTGCAGGCGGGTTATTTTGTCGCGAAGGTGTTGGATTTCTTGGTCCCGTTTGAGGATCGCTTGTTTGAAGTCCCGCATTTGGACGGTCACGTCGAACTGAATGTCCTTTTCCTTTTTCTCATTGTCGCTTAGCTTTTTTTTCACCTCTTTGTAGTTTCTTAGAATCGCAGTGTATTCTTTGAGGAGGATTGTTTCTCTATCTTCGGTCCCGCTCAGGAGTATTTGCTGCCAATTGAGTTCATCTTCTTTCACTGTCCCGGTTTTGGCCGGAGTCTGTGGTGGCTCGGCTGGTTCGTGTTCCTTTACTTTCTCGTCCAAGAATGTGACCATTTTCTTGGCGGGTTTTTTTATTTCTTCTTGTTCGACTTCTTTCACATCTAATGTTTTCTCCTCGATTATTGGATTTGTGGGGCTGATGTTCATCGTTTTAGAGTTAGCGTCAACTGGATTCTTTATTTCTTCTTGTTTTTCGAAAGCTCTCTCGTGTGTTACTAATGTTTTCTCCGGCCTCTGTTCTTGCTCCTTTTCTATTATCTCCTTTTCTGGCTTGTGTTCAGACAATGGTTTAGGTTCCTCCTCCTCCTTATTTTTTGTCGTCTTATTATTATTAATACAACTGTCGATTCCGTCAGCTTCCTCGTCCGGCTTCACCGTGCTCAACTTCTCAGACAAATGCTCAAGGCTCGATCGCGCAGCAGCAAAATTCGACTGCAAACTCGTGTTCTGATTCTCCACATTCCTGTTCAGATTTTCGATCCTCTTCAACTTCTCCTCCATTTCCTTCACCCTCGTGTTGAGATTATTCGTGTCGCCTATCAAGCTCTCCCTCTCCTCCTCCAAGCTCTTAATCTGCGCGTGAAGCTCGTCTGATTCCATCCGTAACGTGTTGATCATGACCGTTTGAGATGAGACTGCGGTTTCGAGACTAATCACCTTGTTAACCAGCTCGTCTATCTTCTCCGCCAGCTCAGTCACCGTAAGTGTCGAAGGCATCGATCCGAAATCAAGGCTCTTGTTGTTATTTTCCGAAAAAATCTCGTTTTTGCCCCCATCATCAACAACACTACTCGATTTCTTCTGGTCGCCTTCGGCCGACTCTTTCATGAACTCGTGCTTAATGGACTTCAAGAGCTCCCGGGCCGACTCGATTTTCTTGAACTCCTCTTGGGCCTCGCGGGTCGACTTCTCCTGCTTTTCCTCCAACACGGCGAGTGTCTCCTGACAAGACTTAAGTGCTGCCTCGGCCATCAACGTTCGGGCCTCATTATCTTCGATAACCATCTCGACATCGAATTCGTCCTGCAGTCGGCTAACTTTCTCTTGAAGCTCCATGATTTGGTTCTCGATCGTCCAGTACTTGGCGAGCCCGCTCTCGTACGAGCTCTTAACAAACTCTTTGACCGTTTGCAAAGCGAGTATTTCCTTGTGGAGCTTGTCTATCTCAACAAGGGCTTCGTCCTTGGCGAGGCCCGATTTCACGACGGTGTTGGACTTGCCGGCGGTTTTGGTCTTCTTGTAAGCGGTAGACGACGATTTCTTGGCTTGGAATTGCTTGGAGGCGGTGGAGATGAGGCCCTTGAGGTTCTCGATCGGGGCCTTGGGGATATTAGGCAAGTTTGCGGGGGGCGTTTGGGAATTTTTCGGGAGTCTGGGGGTCGTGGGGCAATCGTCGTATTCGTTGTCCATGTCGAACTGGACTTGCTCGGGAAAAACGGTTGCGATCGTGTGGTTGGCGTTTTGGAGTTCTTTCGAAAGGAGGTCGTACCGGTCGGCCAGGGCCTTGAAGGCCCGGTAGGATTCTTCGACCGAGCTTATCAGTTCGGGCCTACGCTTGTAGTACATTTCGGCCCGTTTGGCGAACGAGTCGCCGTCTTCTTCGATTAGCTTCACCATGCTCTGTACCTTCTCCTCCATATCTGGAGTGGGACCAGAAAAACATAAAAAATGAAATGAGAAACAAAAAAAAAAAATAATAATTACATTTGGAACATGTCAAATACATCATCATCTTAAATAAAATAAGAAAATAAAAAATAAAAAAGAACATTATGCACCTAATGGAGATGCTACGGTCCCGTTACGGAACCACTCTGTCAGGGTTTGCAACCGTTAAATCAACCATCATCGACGGTTACATGATGATCTAACGGTTACGAATTACGACGGAATGGTTCCGCAAGAGGACCGTAACATTTCCCATTAAATAAATAAAAAAAAAAAGA